CTTCACTGGTGGTACACCCCGGACAGGTAAGTGCAAATCACGTTCGATGTTTCGCGCGACGAAAATTTCATCGGTTGAGTCATGCACTCCGACGATAGTAGATCTGTTTGTTTCACCTACGGAATTCAATCGCATTTCATCGTTTCTATCCGTGCGGTCGCGAGTGAAATGGCCTCGCTAGAAAGTGAAACTCGGAGGAAGCAAAACCCTCTGTGGCGGTCGCGATCTGACGGAGCGTTGCAGTATTGCGTAGCTACGACACGTGGATGATGTGCATGCACCAGCAGCCTGCGTCGTCCGTTTGTGCGTGCGTGTGCGTCCGTGTGTGAGCCCATGCATGCATGTGTGTGTTATTACTGATGTATTCCGCCCCTCCACAGCTACGACACGTGGATGACGGGCGTGGAAGTGGAGCAGGATCCGCTGGCGTCCGAGCCGGGACCGTACGAGGTGACGGCGCGCTGGGTCCTCGACACGGACGAGTTCAATGAGTGGATGAACGAGGAGGACTACGACGTCACCGACAACTGGGTACGACAACGATGGCGGCTGCGCTGGTGGTGGCAGTGCACGATCGCACGTAGGCCACAGGGTTAGGGTTAGGGTTAGGGTTCATGTTGATCAGAAACAAAATCAAGTCAAATGAAGTCGAAAAGTCTCAACATTAGTTTGTCTTAACATTTACTTTTTCTCTTGGAGCTTCCACAGAACTGTTGTGAAGTCGCAAGGATGCAAAATCCTAGCAAGTTCTCGTGCAAGTAACTTTACGAAACCTGGCGACAGTCTATGAGGAATAGTTAATGTTGGCAGTAATGTTGAGGCTGGCAGATTTTGTTTTTTGAACACGAGCCCAAGCGTATTAGCTAGGATTGAGAATTTGGGAGTCCCGAATGTTCAACCCCAGAAAACGTCTTACAAAAATTGTGCGATTTGCTGCATTCTGAGGCATTCCAAATAGTACAAACAGGTTTAGTTATATATGATGACGTAGCTTTATAGCTAGTGGAGGAAGTAAAGTAAAATTCTGGAAAAAAAATTAATGCGAAGACTGCTTGCTAACCAGTATTCTGCATGTTTCATCCGAAATCCTTTCATTCATGATTTCCTGTAGCCGTTTTATCCTTGCAACCTTGTTCTGCTTAGCAATCGTCACGCGATTTACGTTCATATAGTAAGTAATTCACTGGTATGCTTCACTGTTGATCCGTTAAACTGTGAGCACTCGCACTTAATTGCTATTTATGTTTTAGGATTCCAAGAAGAAGAAAGGCAACAGGCCACGGTGCACGACTGCAGATGTGAGTTCGATTAGTTCATGTGTAATTACTAGTGATGTCACGATCATCAATTATACTCGATCATCGGTTGAACAGTGGCTCGAACCAAGCGCTTGGATATCAAAATCCATAATCGATTTTATTGGAGAAAAAAAAAAGGGAAAAGAAATCGAAATAAATGTAAAACTTGAACAAGAAACTGAGAATCACAGATATTATCGCTACTATACAAGTTATCCT